GGCGAAACAGCTTTGTTTCTCTCCGCTCTCCATGGCTGCTTTGACACTGCTCGATTCCTGCTGCTAAACGGTGCCAATCAAGACCTGACTGACTGCAAGGGTCGGCGACCGCTGGACGTGGCTAGAGAAGGATTACATCATCAAGTTCTGGAGCTCCTATTGGCTCACAGAGTTCAGAGGGCGCCAGTTCCTCTAGATCCCTCCACTGAGGTGCTCTGGGATGATCGCACATATGTGTTTTCTCCTTGGGTCGCTTCACCTCCATGTCTGCCTGGAAGAAGTGCCTCGTTTTCTGGGGTGATAAATCACAGAGGGATGCCAACACCTCCACCAGAGTAAGATCACTTTGGAGCATCTGTACTAGAGAGCATTACACAGAGCTAAGCCTAGAGAGATAAAAAAAACTGAAATAGTGAACAATAATAAATTTATTAACTAATAAATATGGAATGACAAAATATTGCAATGCCAGAAAGAGAGGGAGAGAAATGGATGGATGGATTCTTGTTTTTTTATTATTAGACAGACAGACAGACAGACAGACAGACAGACAGACAGACAGACAGACAGACAGACAGACAGACAGACAGACAGACAGAGAGATGGATGGTCGGATGGATGGATGGATGGATGGATGGTAAATGGAGATTGATTGATGGACAGAGTGATGGGTGGATGGACTTATAGACAGATAAATAAACTGATGAATATACAAATAAATGGATGGATGGATGGATGGATGGATGGATGGATGGATGGATGGATGGATGGACGGACAGACAGATGCATGGATGTACAGATGGATGGATGGTTGGGTGGATGGATGGACGGATGGATGGACGGATGGATGAATAGACAGACAGATAGATGAACTGGCAAATGGATGGATAGACAGAAGGATGTATGACATACAGATGGATGGATGGATGATGGATGGATGGACGGACGGACGGACGGACATACGGACGGACAGACAGACAGATAGATAGATAGATAGATAGATAGATAGATAGATAGATAGATAGATAGATAGATAGATAGATAGATAGATAGATGATGGATGGATGGATGGATGGATGGATGGATGGATGGATGATGGATGGATGGACAGACGAACAGATGGACAGAGAACTGACAAATGGATAGATAGACTGATAAGTGGACAGACAGACGGATAGATAGATAGATAGATGGATGGACGGATGAATAGACAGACGCACGGACAAACTGACAAATGAATGGATAGACAGATGAATGGACAGACAAACAGACAGATGTATGAATAAATAGATAGGCAGGCAGGCAGGCAGGCAGGCAGGCAGGCAGGCAGGCAGACAGACAGACAGACAGACAGACAGACAGACAGACAGACAGATAGATAGATAGATAGATAGATAGATAGATAGATAGATAGATAGATAGATAGATGATGGATGGATGGATGGATGGATGGATGGATGGATGATGGATGAATGGACAGACGAACAGATGGACAGAAGAACAGACGAATGGATAGATAGACTGATAAGTGGACAGACAGACAGACAGATAGACAGATAGATAGATAGATAGATAGATAGATAGATAGATAGATAGATAGATAGATAGATAGATAGATAGATAGATAGATAGATAGATAGACAGACATTAGACAGACAGATAGATTGATAGATAGATAGATAGATAGATAGATAGATAGATAGATAGATAGATAGATAGATAGATAGATAGATAGATAGATAGATAGTTAGATAGATAGATAGATAGATAGATAGATAGATAGATAGATGGATGGATGGATGGATGGATGGATGGATGGATGGATGGATGGATGGAGAGATAGATGCATAGGTAGGTAGGCGGATGGATAGATAGATAGATAGATAGATAGATAGATAGATAGATAGATAGATAGATAGATAGATAGATAGATAGATAGATAGATAGATAGATAGATAGACAGAACAATTTTTATAATTGACGTATCATGTTCTTACGATTTGTTCTCAACAGTGATTGGCAGATGGCCAGAGCTCAATGCTCCTCCCCCCAGAACTGGCGTCCAGCCCCCAACCAATCAGCAACAGCTCTGGTCAGCCCCAGGATTCTGGGCCGTCCATCTCGCCCAATCAGCACTCTCCAGGAAGTGACATCAGAGGCAGAAGATGAGGAAAGAGAGCTTCTACAAGACAACGCTCGAGCAGCAACACCTCACTTCCTGTGTCCACAGCCAGCCCCTCGGCAGCGCTCCTTCTCCTGTACCCAGCATGCCCTGAACCGCCGCTCCAGCAACAACCAATCAGAGCTCTCCATGGCTCAGCCTGCAGATAAACTAGCCAATGAGCCAGTGGAAATAGTGACTGTGCTGCACCAGAGAGAATCGACCAGCCAATCAGAAAGCAAAATCCCAGTCAGCGGCTCCGGATCGGCTCAGATGGACTCTGAGAGGGAAAATATGAGGAACAACAAAATCCAGAGCGAGAGGGTCAGCAGTGACTACAACATCACCATCCAGAGCAGCATGTGAGAGAGCAAACAGAGACGTCAGACCAGTGTTTCCCAACCCTGTTCCTAGAGGCACACCAACAGTACATATTTTGCATGTCTCCCTTACCTGACCCAATACCTTCAGGTTTTGGAGTCTCTTCATATGCTCTGATGAGTTGATTCAGGTGTGTTTGATTAGGGAGAGGATGAAAATGTATATTGTCGGTGTGCCTTCAGGAACAAGGTTGGGAAACACTGCATCAGAACAACCGAAAATGCACACTAAAATCATCTTCCTGAAATTTTATTTGGCCAGAAATTCGGCACCAAATCAAAATCAACTCAAATTTGCATGAAGAAAAACGTGCTTTTAACAAATAAGCTTTTTTAATGTATATTCTTCTTGATTATTCCTTTATCACTGTAATGTTTGGATGCTTTATTGTAATTTAATAAAACTCAAGATATATAAAAATATATAATTTTTCTTTTTAACATTACAGCAATGAGAATGGTTTGCAATAAATTAATGGGAACTGCTAAAAGGAACGCTCCCATAAAAAAAGAAATTATAAATAAAAATTGTATGTATATGTATATATATATATGTATATATATATATATATACATATACACACACACACACATATATATATATATATATATATATATATATATATATATATATATATATATATACATACATATATATTTATCTGACAGAGTTGTAAATTTTGCATATATATATATATATATATATATATATATATATATATATATATATATATATATAGGCAAAATTTACAACTCTGTCAGTTAAATAGTAGACATTCATCTTTTTTTTAATCCATTCATTCGATCTCCATGTCTTAGCTTAGCATAGATCACTGAATCGGATTAGACAGTTGGCATCACAATCAAAATGACCCAAGAGTTTTTATAATTGTCCTATTTAAAGCTTGACTGATAGTACTAAATGTACTGACATTAAATGAAAAGTTAAAATAGATGCAATTGGGTAATAATCAACTTTGTTGCCGTACCATGGCTGCAGTAGGAGCAATGATATTATGCAGCACGTGAAAATCGTCTAACTTTAGTCTTGTTTAAATATTAATACAGTTCAGGAAAAAAAAGAGGGAGAGAGAGAAATGGACTGAAGGATTCTTGCTTTTGTAACAAATGATTCAAAGGGATTTTGCATGTTCTTTGGATGGATGGATGAATGAATAAATTGATGGATGGTACAGATGGATGAATAAATAAATATATAAAATGATGGATGAATGGTACAGATGGATGGATGAATAAATAAATTAATGGATGGTACAGATGAATGCATAAAAAATAGATTTATGTATAGACGGATGGATAGGCAAATGGATGGATGGATAAATAAATTGATGGATGGTACAGATGGATGGATAAATAAAGAAATATACAGATTAATGGATGGACAGATGGATGGATGGATGGATAAATAAATTGATGGATGGTACAGAGGGAGGGATAAATAAAGAAACATGCAGATTGATGGATGGATGGTACAGATGGATGGATAAATAAAGATATGAACAGATTGAAGGATGGACAGATGAATGGATGGAAAAATTAATTGATGGATGGCACAGAGGGATGGATAAATAAATTTACAGATTGATGGACAGACAAATGGACGGATAAATAAATATAAAGATGGGCAGATGGATAGATGGATGAATGAATAAATAAATTCATGGATGGTACAGATAAATGGATAAATTAAAATATATAGAATGATGGATGGACAGAAGGATAGACAAATGGATGAATGAATAAAATTCATGGATGGTATGGATGGATGGATAAATACATTTATGGATGGTACAGATGGATGAACAGATGGATGAATGAATAAATAAATTCATGGATGCAGATGGATGGATGAATGATGAAATCTACAGAATGATAGATGGACAGATGGATGGATTAATTGATGTATGGATGGATGTATAAATAAATTCATGGATGGTACAGATGAATGGACAAATTAAGAAATATACAGAATGATGGATGGACAGATGGATGGATGAATTGATGGATGGTTCAGATGGATAATTAAAAAAACTGATGGATGGTACAGATAGATGAATGAATAAATAAATTGAAGGATGTACAAATGGATGGATAAATACACTGATTGATGGATGGATAGATGAATGAATAAATAAATTCATGGATGGTTCAGATGGATGAATAAATATACAAATTGATGGATGAACAGATGGACGGATGAATGGATAAATAAATTGATGGATAGTACAGATGGATGTCAAAAAATAGATATAGACAGATAGATAGAAAGATAGACAGACAGACAGACAGACAGACAGACAGACAGACAGACAGATAGACAGATAGATAGATAGATAGATAGATAGATAGATAGATAGATAGATAGATAGATAGATAGATAGATAGATAGATAGATAGATGAATATGTGCTGCAATAAAACAAGTTTGTGTACAAATGCTGAATGTGTACACAGACAGTCTTTATTGTAAAAGAGGTAGAGAATACAGGTGTTTCACTGTACAGAGAAAAGACAGCACTGTTGATATACTCATTCAAACGGTAAATAAAACAGCAAACACACCTCATTCAGAAAACTGATACATACACAAACCCAGTAAAAAAGAGAAACACGCACATACACACAGAGAAACAACCAAAAAAACAATCTTTGGATTTATCAATATTGCCCCTTTCAGCCAAGCCAATCCTATCTGAGCTCTGAATAAACTATATTGAGCAGTGATAATAATAATAATAATAATAAAATAGCTGTAATGAAAGCAGTCGTAATGCAGCTTAAAAAGTTCCCCCATTCAACACCCAGATATTGCAGTAACACATAATGGAAGTTGTGATGTAGTGGAAATGTAAAAAACTAAAACAACACAAGTAAAAGCCTTGATCTCATCCAGCTCTTCTCTCACACAAACATCCAACCATCTAAATGGAGAAAGGCCTTCTTCATGAGACAAATGCATAAACTGCTCACAAAAGCCTGTTCTGCTCACAAAGGCTACATTTAATGAACGAAGCGTTGAGTGAAAACCGTTTATAATAACTAATAATAAATAACTGAACACAGAATCTGCATATTATCTGCATATAATGATTCTAAATCATGTGATGCTGAAAACTGACACAGAAATAAATTAAATTTTAAAATATTTAAGTTATATTTTACTATAATTTTATTACATAAATGCAGCCTCGATGAGAGACCTAAAACATTTTTGCCTTTTATTGGGAAGGAAACTTCTTTGAGATTGTTTATAATATACTTTCTTTTTCCTTTTAAGTTACAAGTTCAAAAGTCTTAATTATTTAATTTAATTATTACTTAAAACTTGATTACAAAAAAAAAAAAAAAAGAAGAAGTAAAGTTTTTCCTGACGATTCTTTCAATGAGTGTCCTATAAAGGGGTTAAAAACATGATAATTCCAAATAACGGTTTGGCTCAGACAAAGGCTACATTTATTAATTAAAAATAAAGTGAAAACTGTTTATAAAAGGTTATTATGCACCAATAATAAATAACTGAACACAGAATCTGCATAATAGTATGATTTCTGGAACATGTGATGCTGAAAATGGATCACTGAAACTGAAACCAAATACCTCAAGCTGAAAACTGATAAGTAATAATGCTGAAAATTCAGCTTTGCATCACAGAAATAAACTAGATTTTAAAATAAGTAATATTTCACTATTTCTTTATTACATAAATGCAGCCTTAATGAGAGACTTAAAATATTAATCTTTTATTTAGCAAGGAAACATTTATAGTAACTTGTTTGAGATTGTTTATAATATACTCTCTTTTTACTTTGTTATTCAAGTAATAAGGTCAAAAATCTTTAAATTATTTCATTAAATTGCTACTTATTATAAAGTTTAAAGTAATTTTAAGTAATTCAAAATAAGTAATAACCCCCAGTAACGCTCCAGGGTTTTTCCTGATAATTATTTCAATGAGTGTCCTATAAAGGGGTTAAAAACATCATTATTCCAAATAATAGTTTGGCTCAGACAAAGGCTACATTTAGTTATTGGAAATTAAAATAAAAACTGTTTATAAAAGGTTCTTTTGCACCAATAATAAATAACTGAACACAGAATCTGCATATTAGTATTATGTCTGGATCATGTGATGCTGAAAATTGATCACTGAAACTGAAAACTCATAACTGAAACCAGATACCTGAAACTGAAATCTTTGCATCACAGAAATAAATTAGATTTTAAAATATTTAAGTAATATTTCACTATTTTACTATAGTTTTTTATTACATAAATGCAGCCTTGAAGAGAGACTTAAGACATTTTAACCCTTTATTGGGCAAGGAACCATTTATGGTAATTTCATTAAGATATAGTTTATAATATATTTTAATTTAAGTTTATAATATACTTTTCACTTACAATTATTTTAATTATTACTTTAAAAAGTGACTTAAAAATTAATAATAATAACCCCTAGTGACGCTCCAGGATTTTTCCTGACGAGTATTTCAATGAGTGTCCTATAAACGGGTTAAAAACAAAATTATTCCAAATAATAGTTTGGCTTAAACTGTCGTTTAGCAATTTTACAAGCAGTTTACACATTTACATGCTTCATAAACAAGGCCTTTTCTTATGTAAATGATTGCATTAAATGTAATAAGGATACATTTATAAAGGATCTACATGTAAAACTCTGCTTCATGAATGAGGCTCGACGTGAAGTCCAACGAAAATAAAACTAAGAAGAAAAGTAAATCTGCAGTTGGGTAGAAGAGAGAGCATCATTCTTTCGTGTCTGTGAGGTGGACGTCATCAGTCTGAGTCGACGGAGTGATCAGTTCCGGGTGAAGCAGCGGACGGCGGCGAGTTCTGCTCCTGCCAGTTACCATTAGTCTGCAGAGCAAGAAAAACAACAATAAAACTTTCAAATATCAAATTTGTAATATAATATTTATTACAAAGTTTGCAATGAGCATTAATGTAAATTATATATGCACACATAAAGAAATACATTTAAAGTATTATATTTTTATATCATTACTTTTTAACTAATATTTTATTACATGTATTTTAATCTTCATAACTTTAAATACTTTTAAAAATCAGTTTTATCAAATGTTTACATTTAACAACTATAAATCCTAAATTTAAATGACGTTTACTACTAACAGAGCACTATTATCATCATCTTCTTCATAGCAAGATACATTCACCGGCCACTTTATTAGGTACATCTATCCAACTGCACGTTAACACAAATTTCTGGACAGCCAATCACATGGCAGCAACTCAATGCATTTAGACATGTAGACATGATCAAGACGATCTGCTGCAGTTTGAACCGAGCATCAGAATGGGGAAGAAAGGTGATTTAAGTGACTTTGAACGTGTTTGTTGGTGCCAGACGGGCTGGTCTGAGTATTTCAGAAACTGCTGATCTACTGGGATCTTCACACACAACCATCTCTAGGGTTTACAGAGAAGTGTCCGAAAAAGAGAAAATATCCAGTGAGGGGCAGTTCTGTGGGTGTAAATGCCCTGTTGATGACAGTGGTCTGAGGAGAATGGCCAGACTGGTTCCAGCTGATAGAAAGGCAACAGTAACTCAAATAACCACTCGTTCCAACCGAGGTCTGCAGAAGAGCATCTCTAAACACACAACACATTAAACCTTGAGGCAGATGGGCTACAGCAGCAGAAGACCACACCAGGTGAAACTCCAGTCATCTAAGAACAGGAAACTGAGGCTAAAATTCACACAGGCTCATCAAAATGGGACAATAGAAGATTGGAAAATTGTTGCCTGCTCTGATGAGTCTTGATTTCTGCTGCGACATTCCGATGTTAGGGTCAGAATTTGATATCAACACCATGAAAGCATGGATCCATCCTCCCCTCCCCAACAGTCCAGGCTGCTGGTGGTAGTGAAACAGTGTAAAGAATATTTTCTTGGCACACTTTGGTTCCATTAGTACCAACTGAGCATTGCATCGTGTCAACCCCACAGCCTACCTGAGTATTGTTGCAGATCATGTCCATCCCTTTATGACCACAGTGTACCCATCTTCTGATGACTACTTCCAGCAGGATAACGCGGCATGTCATAAAACGTGAATCATCTCAGACTGGTTTCCTGAACATGACAATGAGTTCACTGTACTCAAATGGCCTCCACAGTCACCAGATCTCAATCCAATAGAGCACCTTTGGGATGTGGTGGAAATGAGATGGATGTGCAGTCGACAACTGTGTGATGCTATCATGTCAATATGAAGCAAAATCTCTGGGAAATATTTTCAGTACCTTGTTGAATCTATGCCACGAAAGATTAAGGCTGTTCTGGAAGCAAGAAGGAGTCCAACACGGAACTAGTAAGGTGTACCTAATAAAGTGGCCGGTGAGTGAATACATGAGAAATATATATATAATGCACACATATTATGTCAAAATAAACTTTAGTTTTGGATGTGATTGATCTTTGCCCAGCACTATTCCTCATACATGATTATTACAAGATATACAGTAGTCTACATTTTAGTAGTTCACAGAAAGTTAGAAACAAAATTAGAAAACATTGATGAAAGATTTTTACCTAATTTAAATGTAGACTCATGTATACACTTATTAAAGTAAAACCATTTATCAAAATCAGTATCACACAATCAATACTCAATAATAATAAAAATAGTAAGTATAAAATCTGCAATGACCTCAAAAGGAGGTTATACTTTGTTCACTTATGTCAAAGCATTCTCATTAAAAGTCATACCACTCCACACGCGGCTCTTAATGTGAATAAGCCATAATTATAATCAACACAGGAAGTGAATCATTGCAGTGTGTGAGTGAAAAAGCGAGACTGATGGACCGCAGACGCAGGCATGCATGAACTGAGCTCCTCACCCGGCTCTCTCTGGTAATATACAGTCTTTCTGAGAAGCGCGATTGAGCGTCCTACCAGAGAGAGAGAGGAAAAGGACATTTAGCAATGCAAACACAAAACCACATCATTGCCTCCATTTAGAGCTGCACATTAATTGTTACAAGCTTGCATTCTCCATTAATTAATAATCCTTCTAAATGACCATGATTTGTGCATTTACACTTCTGTTACAAGCATTCGAATTGTCACAGAAGTTCTGGGAAAAACATTTGTAATTTGGATATCCACACTGATGTCTACTGATCAAAATCACTGTTTAAAGGTGCTGCATGTAAGTTTTTGACTCTTCTAAAGCATAAACATTAGGGATGGGAAGATTAACCGATATGTATCGATACGCGGTCATGCGCGTGCACGATGCGAGTGCATCGGTTGAGCAGCAGAGGATGAATGAAATTTTGGAAGCAAATCGAGATGCATCAGTTTTTGCGAGATGCATCGATTTTTCCGAGATACAGCTTATATTTTTAATATAGAATGTATTTTTTATTTATTGACAAGAGTTGTCAACCTGTTTTTGGCGCATAATTTAATCGACCTACATAAAGTAAGCCTTAGCAACGGATTTGCGGATGTGTACACTTACACTACAACTCAGTGTATCAGGTGTGCGGATGAAGCAAGTGGAGCGCCCTCAGAAAGTGCGAGAAGCAAAACAAACATTTTATTCCTCACTGAGTTTTAAATCTAAAGTATGGCAAGCAACATTATGGATTAAAGGATGGACGACATGACAGGACAGATGCAATTTGCAAAATGTGCCGCGCATCTGTAAAATACGCGGGCAGTATGACTAATCTGAAATCTCACTTGAAGCGGCGCCACGGTGTTGTTGTGAAAGCATCTTCCAGTGTTCCTGCATCCCCGGCTTTCGCACTGCTTCAACCAGCTCCAAAAGTGGTGAGAAAAGCATTGCAAGTTTTTTTTTCCGTGCGCAACAGTTTTGTGCGCTCTACGCCAATAACGGATACTATTGCATTGTTCATCTGCAAAGATATTCAGCCTAGTGTCACGGAGAACGAAGGTTTTAAACACCTCCTCCTGTTAATTTTTATTTAATTATAATAATAATAATAATATTAATAATAATAATGATAAAAATAATGGGTGTCACGGTGGCACAGTGGGTAGTTTGACCACCTCACAGCAAGAAGATTGCTGGTTTGTTATATTTTTATTAGCCTGTTGTTTACAGTGACAGTGATGTTTCAAAGCAGCATAACACTGCTAGTTCACGACCTTAAGTTTTGAATAATCAGTGGCAAAATATCTTTGTAAAACTTGTTTTCATAGTTGAAAAGTTAAATCACAATTCTTGTTGTGCAATGGTAAACCTTTATGTTGAAAGAGTGCAAATATATATATATTTTTAATATATATTGCACTTATACATTCTGTTTATCTTGAAAATACTTAAATAATATGTGCTATATGTTCTAAAATGGCCCTCTACTGTAAACTGACACTCTGGCTCTGAGAGAAGAGCCAGTTTGTAAAAAAAGTCTTGGTTTTGCTTGGTTAATAAATAATCAAACTCATTCAATGGCACAGCATCCTCTTTCACATCATCTCATAAACTTGATCTAATTAGTTAGTGCTGAAATATCGCATCGTATCGTGATATGGGTGTGAATCGTATCGTGTTGCATTGCAATATGTCACAAATGTATCGCTAATATATCGGATCGTATTCTTTGTATCGAGATGCGTATCGGATCGGCATTATAGCTTAGATGCCCAACCCTAATAAACATAATATAATATGTTTGTAGATATTTAAGAAATATGCTAAGAGAACACTCTTGTTTATCTGATAAACAATGCTAAAGTCAGATTTTCTGGTTCGAAAATGTGCGTTACATGCTGGAATAATTTGTTTTGGTCCCTTTAACCCGATCAATGCCAGTTTAGCCAATTATATTCCAGTATGCCGGGATGACTTGGTGGAAAACAGCATATTTGATTCAGTCAGGAACGCTCTCAAAGCATGCGTCTGTGACCGAAATGCGCCCTCCAGAGGACAATAACAGCCTCTGAAATGAGATGCAGATTCAGTTTCACATGAGGTGGTTATTAATTACCAAATAATATGTTATATTTAAAATGCAAACATTATGTGAGCAGGTTACATTGTAACTAAGTGTCCTAACAACACGCTATGTGACGAGATTAGCAGTAATTAAGCAATTTGGTTGTTTGCACCAGATGAAACATGACAGAAATGTAAATACAGCCATTCAGAAGCACAGAATAGTGCACTCACTGCACTCCAACAAAATGGTAATCTTTACAATCTGATTAATACAAAATAAACTTCTTTAACTATATGAAATGTAGATGCTGAATTACTGATATTTGTTAAGTCACAGTTTTAGGGCTCTATTGTAACGATGTGGGCGCAAAATCTAAAGCGTCTTGAATCCACTTTTGCCATTTTAAGGACGGAAAAATATGCTCTTCTCTTAATGAGTTCTGGGTGTGTTTTGAAAATAAACCAATCAGAATCTCATCTCCCATTACCTTTAAGTCAGTTGCGTCGCGCCATAGCGCATTTGCTATTTACATGGTGGACTTTGTAAGTATAAAAACTGAACGCTTCACTAGTGAGAAAACGGTTAAACAGATCATATGCAGTGCGAGAATAAAATATGAGCCTTCTCCATTCTGCCTTTCCATTTCCATTTCGCTCTTTCGTGGATAAGGAAACATGTTGTACGCACAGACAGCCATTAGCCTACATAATTCATTTAGTTTGTTAGGATTTGTTTCTAAACTATTTCTAAATTCAGTTCTAATTTCCAGCAAGTGAATAAATAAACAATAATAATGAAGTGTGGTCAAAAAATAGTTATACATCTCACGTGCTATGCCCCATATGGTCAAACCAGACAGGTGGACAGGTGGTTTTTATGTTTATGTAGAAAATAATATTTTCTGTATTATTTTCATCCTTTAATTCTTTTTCATTCGTAAAGATATTTGCGTATTGCTGTACATCCTGCATGTTTTAAGCAGCGAGGCGCACAACTAACGCACTCTGCGCTGGACTTTATACCTGCTTTCAGCTCTATTTTAGTTCCTCAAAATAGCAACACACCCACAATTTGCCTTAACACACCTCTTTTCTAGACCAAAACATCCATGAGCAAAAAAAGTGGCGCAAATGGATTAGCTATTTAAACAACATGCCGGAAAACCGGAAAATTAAGGTTGCATTGGGCTGAAAATAGCAACAAGTCGTGGAAACACGTCTTGCGCCTTATTGCGCCGGGTGTATAATAGGACCCATAAAGTTCAGTTTCAAACAGTTTATTTCATTTTCAAGATCTGAGGTGAACTATCTGCTGCTGCTGCTTCAGTAGTAAGACAATAAATATGACATAAACTGGCATTTGAACTCACATTATCAACATTTAACACTGAATAAAGCACATGAGGTGTACCGGAGGTGATCTGTTGTTCAGCAGCAAGAAATAAAAGCCGTTTCTAAATTATAAATTTCAGGTTTTGGTTAGGACAAAACCTAATTTTAATATGGAAAATAATCCTTCTATCGCATGCTGCTGCTTTTATTGAAAACACGACTTAAATCAACCTTTAGGCTCGATAGTCAGGCTTGCACCTGTTGGTGTCGTCAATCTGGCAACCTGTGCTTATGTGTGTTTTGAACCAGGCATGCAATACCTAGTTGAACCACTGAGTGTCAAACTTACATACTGCACCTTTAAAGGCAACTTAATGCTTCAAATGAAAGTTGCAGCAATTATATTGATACACCGGTAGTACATTAAACTGTAATTGTATTTGTGACTAAAAATAAGTTATTGATTCATTTATTTAAGGTGAGATTATTAAAAATGATTTATGTATTAATATTTGTGGCAAGGGGGCGTGGCCGAGAGCCGTGGCAACGCAATGAATTCCACGGAAGGAGCTCTGGACTATATGAGGAGGAACGATGGCAGAGGAAGCCGAGAGAGGACCGGGCCCGGACATATTTTACTTTTGCTTTCAGTTTGACGGACCTGCCGTCTGTTTGTTTTGGTTTAGACGGCAGTCTCCGTTCCCACGGCTCTCGGCCACGCCCCCTCGCCACAATATTATTATCATGATAAATAGAATGCAGCAATTTTAATTTTGTCACAATCTTGTTTTAATTATCATTTTGTTGTCTATTTAGAATTGTGGGTGAAAGTAGCAGGAATTGCATTGTTACAACAGTGGGTTGTCATGAAAATGTAAATGCATTGGCCGCTTAATAATAAGTTAAAGAACTTGATCAAAAATTATTTTTCATCCAGTAATGAGAAATACAGTATTTATAAGTTACTAAATCATTTAAGCTGAGATTATTTTTCTATTCAAATTATTATCATCAACCTTTTATTAGAACCTTGAGTAAATAACTTTTTTTTCTATTATTATTATTAATAATTACTTTGTTGTCTATTTAGAATTGAGGGTGAATTATGATCTCTAAGTCTAAAATAAAGAGTGATATTATCATGATCTCTCATGTTACTGAGCCGGAGACTCACACACACCACACAAGCACAACAGAGATGAAGACATGCACAGATGCAGTACAAAAGAGAGTTGCACCTGAGCTCCCATGTGATACGGAGGCTGCTCGCCGTTCATTGGTGGAACCCCTAGAAAGCAGTCAGCTGATCCTGACAGAGAGAACGACCCTGAGCCTGGAGGACAGAGAGAGAGAGAGGTGTTAAAGAGTCATTTCTAACTTCATAACAATCACAGAGAGATTCCTTCCCCTATCATTGAAATCACATGCATGAATTAGGGCTGCACAATATACAGTTTTAGCATCAATAGTCATTCACAATAGTCACACTGCAGAATCTGCAATGTCAAATCAGGATAAAAGTGGAGCAGGAGTTAAAAACACACGTGATTGTGGAGTAATTACAAAGTATAACCATAAAGTTATCAAACAATTGTAACATTTGCATGTGTTTTAAAGCCTGTGACTGTGTACACGTTTTAAGTAGGGTTGGGGGATGTCGACCAATGTCTAATGTGAAACATCACGATGGACGATGGCATCGTTGTCCTAGGTGGCAGTGTATTTATTATTTATAAATAATTAATTAATTTATAACAAATTTATTTTTTGTAGCCTACCGTTTCAACTACCTGACCCGCATGGTCTTTGTTTTACCCATAAGTAATCAAATAATAAATAAATAAAGAAAAGTTACACACAAATGGCCACTTGCAATCTCTTTTTTCCGTGGTACTCTGGCATGAACAGGCAAAGTGATCTGTGTAATGGCGTCGACAAACTTGGTTGGTTCCTGCTGATTGTGCACCTGTTTTACCAACCAAAAGTGTCTGAGGTTTCCCTAAAATTACTAAGTACAAGCGTGAAAGAAGCAGTGTACTGACGCTGTGACAATACCTGTTAGATTCAAAAGACTGAAGCGTCCTTAGATAGAGACAAGATTAATTAAATATCACGTTTAACACTTATAGTGAGAGGCGATCCAGCGGTACATCCTTGATAAACTGTCTATTGTGCACTGCTTTCTGGGGTTTTACTCAAAGCACTCGCTGACTGCCCGGAGCTCAAACATGTACATATGCTGCTGCAGCACATGCCAGAGTGTGTGTATGTGTGTGTGGTCACGTGATGTGCGTTTTCAGCGGTATAGTGTGAATGGAGAGCTGTTCAGAAATGCTAGGTAAAACCCCAGTGGGAATGTGGATCGTTTTATTTCTAAAATGCCAAAACTAAGACGTATTGGTGTAAACAGGGCCTGACTGTGTGTTTTTCGCAACCGGGTTGCTGCGGGGTGGGGCGGAGGATTGCGATGTTGGCTCAGCATCCTGATGTCGATAGATCATCGGCGATAACCCTAGTTTCAAGCCAGTTTAAAGCATTCAGGCACAGGTAATTAAACTTTTAGCAACTTCAAGACACATTAATTGTATTTATGTGCATTATATATGCAATGAAGATTATTTATTTTACATTTATTGGATCAATTAGTGCACCTGAATGCTGTTAGACTCACAAAAACCCCATAAAGCATTTGTTTCATTTGTAATTTTGCTTTACTGTATTTATCACTGCTTGTGATTTGGTTTATTACATTTCACGCAGATGCGTCCACTACAAAATCATCCTATTATCATCCAAATTTGTCCTAAAATTATTAATTCGTTTCAAATAGAGCTATTCATTTTATCTGTTAAATCTATGATCAATATCGCAATATGAACTGCAGAAAAATAAAATATTGCAATTTCAGATTTTTGCAATATCGTGTAGCCCTAGTTTGAATGCATTTTGGCTTCGCTCTGAAGTATATCGATGAATAAAAAGTTTTTATGGCGCTCAAATTATTTCTTAGGTTATTTAGGTGCTTTCTGCCACTACTTGTTTAGCCTGCTTGAATGCGTTCAGTGTATAACTGCACATTTAATTATTAAAAGAATGCCATCTCAATCGAAATCCCCATGCAACCCTAATTATAAATAATCGTAATTTGCATGTTTATTTATTCTTGAGGGGCTGCATTTGACCAAAAAAGAGATTCAGTCTTCTCAGCCAGTATAATTTTGAGTTATTATAATTTCTTTCAGTTTATAGTTCAGATATAACACTGAGGTTTATGGTAAATATTAAACTCACCGTTTAATTCAACATGACACTCAAAATAAAAGTTGTAACAATTACATTGTTTAACCAATAGGTGGCAACAGCCAGCCTTAAAAAAATAATTTTAAAAAATCAATGAATAATTCTTCAAAATTATAAATCTCGTAATGAAAAAGTTTATGGGTGAGTGACTGAATCATTATTAGAAACGGACAAAAAACTAAATATGATGTATTTTTGTACAAGATTATAATGTAAAATTTATACAATTAGCATTATCAGCAACAGTAGCAAAGATTATTTTTCACAGTATTTAATATTTTACTTTAATAATTTATTTATTCAGCTGGTTATTTCTTTGTGTTTAGTAAAAATACAGGTTATAAGTTATGTTATAGCCAAACTGTTTATGTATTAAATGTAAAGCATATTACATTTGTCTCCTCCCTTTTTTGCTGAAAAATGGTCTGACCCGTGACTTAAAAACCGTAATGGTATCTAAACCGTTTGTACTGTGAGACACTACTAGACGTTTATCCATAACAGTGATAAATACTTTGGGCTTTAACTAACCAGTGGAGTTTGGAGTGTGGGGTGAATCTTCGCTCTGTGTCGCCCCTAAGGCTGTCTTCATGGCATACAGATTGGCCTCTTCCTGGTATTTCCCAATGTTCTTCTTATAGCGAATCCTCTTGTTGCCAAACCAGTTGGACACCTGTTATGATTTCAGAGCCAAAATGAAAGCGATATGTATCTGATGACTGGACGCTCCAGTAGTGCAACGAGAGCCATGCTCCTCTTAAAGACTCGAGGAAAACAAGCCTATCAAACAGAGTAAATAAATGATAGAGGAGGTCATACCTGAGACACAGTGATACTGCACTGCTTGGCCAGTTCTTCTTTGGCTTCCTCACTCGGGTAAGGGTTTGAGAGGTGTGAATAGAAATACTCGTTCAGAACCTCTGTGGCCTGTTTACTAAAATTACGCCGCTTACGCCTGATAAAAGGAAGAAAATGTAATAGTAAAAAAATTGCTGTCTAAAATTATTATGCCTTGTCAACATAAACATATTTTAAGATAAATGTCAAAATAAACATTTGGCCACTTAAAAGTTCAGATATAAACATGGTTTATGGTAAATATTAAACTCACAGTTTAATACAACTTATTTCTTTATTTGTTTAGGTTTTAATGCTATATCAGTAGCATTGGCTATATTCATGGTAAAACATTTACTAATAAATATACAATATATAATCATAAAATCAAAACAGTTTCTTAACAAACATACTTTGTAAATAAAAACAACAAAAAGTATACAAGTAGCAACAACACTAAAAACAGTCAGATACAATCTTTTAGTTTGATTAAGGATAAATATTCTAAGTGCTCCAGAAGGCACCTGTTCAAACATTTCACTTTTAATATTTCCCGAATAAAAACGTTTTCTATTATCATTTAAAAATGCACATTCTGTTAAAATGTTTTATCGTCAAAATGTTTTTACACAAGTCACAAATAGGTTTTTCTTCCCCTTTCAATAAATATGCATGTGCAAGTCTTGAGTTTCTGATTCTGCATCTCGTATGTTTAATCCAACTTGACGCTCAAAATAAAAGTTGAATCAATTACATAGTTTAACCAATAGGTGGCGACAACCAGCCTTAAAAATTCACTGAATAATTGAATCATTCAATTATTATTACTGAATTATTGAAGTCATTACTAGTACTCGTCTAAAACAATCTAATATTTGACTAGTCAACATAAATATATTTTATGATAAATGCTAAAATAAACATTTGACGACCTAATTGTTCAGATATAAACATCGTTTATGGTGAATACTATACTCACCGTTTAATCCAACTTGACGTTCAAAACGAAAGTTGTATCAATTGTTTAACCAATAGGTGGCGACAACCAGCCTTAAAAAAATTCACTGAATAATTGAATTATCCGAGCCACTACTAGTACTTGTCTAAAACAATCTAATACTTGCCTTGTCAACATAAACATATTTTATGACAAATGCCAAAATAAACGTTTGACGACTCAATGTTTTAAAATGAAAACATAATTGCCATACATATTAGCATTGTTATCTGACAGCTGTAATGTACATGTACATAATTATTAACATATTCTTAATAGAATCAAGTAATATTTCTTATTTTATTAGCAGTTTTATCAATTTAATAATGTCATTTAATAATAAAAACAATCAAGTCTGAAAATAAATAAATAAATCAATATTTGTACCGAAATTTTACAGTTCATGTACTACATATTAATATTACAACTATTTGGTCATAATTTTGGATGTGATCAACTACGATTGTTTGACAGCACTAATATTATTATTTTTAATTCTACTAGATGGTCATATTGATATATAATAACCAAAATGATGCAGCTGCTATAGAGTGGAGGAACTAAGACGTCAATCTGTACGCGAAAATCCAAAAGCGAGTTAGCATTTTAGCAGTTCTGGTTCTCTCGTCCCGAAGTCATCGGGTTTTTTCAATGGGATATCAGTTCAATCTATTAAATAAGGTCCGTGGCTAACACAAACTCAATATCCTTTCACGTTTTATTCTACGACATAAAAACATATCAGTTACATCACATTCTTGATTTTTTAAATCAGCTACACTTCTTTAAAAAGACGGTTGCTAACAAGTTGCTAAATGGGACGACAGGCGGTGTTGGAGACACGATACGTCATCAAACTGAACTGGTCTGGAACAAAGCTTGCTTGCGTTGGGCATTTGGATTTGTCTGTTGTTGTTTAAGTATTTTCATAGTATTTTATAGTTTGTAGTATTCTTTTAATTGGTAATTTATAATGTGAGTAGATAATGCCTTTACTTGTAAAGACTGTCAAGACATATTAATTTGCTGATCATTTATTTTAATTAAACGATATCACGGACACCAGGGCAGCCTGTCTCTTTCCTGCTCTCAGTAATGCAAACGTGTGAATAAATGTGTAAAAGTACATATTAACTGTCATTTTAACGTGATCAAGTGTTTCTTTTTGGGTTTTTTTCTTAATCTAATCACATTTAACCCGGTCATAACTGTAATATTTTCACTCCTATAGCAAATATGAATGTATAGACTGCTTTTCGAATGTTGTTCTCTATCCTTAATGGAACTTGCAGGAATTGGATAAACTTGTCTCTCACGCCTCATTTCTGTCATCTATTACAAGGTAAGCGGGCTGTGTGCACGCGAGCGATACACTTATTTAAATATGTCTTAAGATAATACTATGTAGCAGGGCTCGAAATTAACCTTTTTTCTTGGTAGCACCGATGCTCCTAACTTTAAAAAGTTAGGCGCATCAGCCAAAATTTAGTCGCACCCACCAATTATGAGCACCGTTACTACAAGTTTTATACAAACAGATTTATTGCATTTGAAATCAACAGTAATCAAACTAACAAGCAAAAAAAAAATATATATATATATATATATATATATATATATATATATATATGCAAGCGTGAGGAAAATATGTCTCAACGAAATCCTGTTATCACAAGAAATACATTTTATAACATGACTGAGTGACTAAAGCATACACGGAGCGCTCACCGGCCCTGCACACACTGCTTGAATGAATCTGTTAACAGTATAACTGTGCTGTTCTCACAAGTGCTGTCTGATATTGCACTGATGCTTTTGACATATACTGTACCTTATTATATGCATACGTCATGTTAATAGCAATACCGGTGTATTCATGAGTAGCGATATTAGTTTACTCAGTGCAAGCCCGTTTGCGATGCCGATGGTGTACGTGGTGTTAAATTTTACATATAGCTGTCCCTTGCACAGCGGACAGCATCTGGCGATTAAATGAAGGATTAAACAGAAGCTCTCGTGCTAGATGTGGAAAACTGTTACCTGAAAACTCCATCCCACAGACTTTTAATAGCGGACTTGAAGCCAACGGAGTCTTTTATCCACTCTTGGAAAAGTGTAGATGGTGGACTAACATTCAGCACATGATCACAACTAAGATGTGTCATTATTTATAACTTTAGATGTCATGGTTTCTAAAACAAAATCTGCCAGTGTCATTTTCATTCTCATCTTTAGCGCTTTAGTTTTTCGCGGTAGTAGCTCTCTCTGTCATCCCAAGCAAGAAGGCGCTGGCTGAGTGATTGACAGCTGACATTAACCAATTATTCGCGTTCAGTGCTAGAGCAGTGGTGGGCCAATAAGAAGAGCGCGAAGGCGGGGCAAGCATTACGGACTTGTTACTGCAGCAAGATGACATGACAACTGTTTTAAACCATTCCTGAGTGCTGCGTTTCCCGTTTCAAGTGCAGACAAAGAGCTTAGAGATGCATTCTGCGTGAATGTCTCCCGAATCCGCGCATGTGCTTAACATTTTGCAGTAAAAACTGGTCGCACTCAACAATTTTAAGCACTCGCAGAAATGCTCCCAAATATATTTTGAGGTCGCATAGATAAAATTTCGGGCGCATATGCCACCAAAATGGTCGCAATTTCGAGCCCTGTGTAGGCACATTTATACATACAGTTTTAAAGCTTTTACAACAACCGTAAAGCAAAACAAATGTATTTCTCACCTAAAAAACTATTAAAAAAAGCACGTAGTCCTGTGTTTTTGCATATTTATTTGTTTATAATATATAGCGTGGATTATAATATAATAAACCGAGAGAGTAAATCTTAAACCATGTTTGTAAAAATAAGCTTGAAGTGTTGTCTGTAGCAGGGTGGTGCTAATGTCACAGGCGAGCGCCCCGAAAGCACTGTAGTCCGTTTATAGGCTAATGTTAGCTTTTCAATTCTTGCGTTAGCATTTAAGATCCAAAAGTGCTAAAATATGTATTTTTGTGAGCGGATTATCCAGTTGGACAAAATGTGTTATTGTAATAAACAGTGTTTAAACACAGAGCTCATTATTTGCAATCTTCGAAAAGCCTATATCATAGTTCCTCCACTCTATAGCAATATATAAATAATATAAATAATAATCATAATGATAAAAAATTATGTTTGAAAAAAAATGAAGGCAGACAATAACATTAGCATGCAGACGTCACCTGGCGTCCAAAAACCGTGAGCGTAGAATCATGACGGCTTCACAGGTGCTCTGTTTGAGCTGCGTCTGAATGGAGCTGAACTTGCGGTGAATGATGGCCACCATGCGCTCGATCTCACGTGGAGACACCGGCCGGGTGCGAGACTGCTCCCTCAGCAGATTCATAACATGGGTAGTGAACTCACTGCAGGCCTGTGAACAGCATGAAGATTAGTAACTCCTTTCAGTTGGAGGACATTTAGATAGTGTTTTCTCACGTCAAAGTGCTTTAAACTTTCGTTTTCTGTCCTAATTAAAAAAAAAGGCAGTGCAAATGGACCAAAACAATAAATAAACAAATGAATAATAATAAAAAAACAAGACCAATCCACTTATTAAGTGTGACATCTCAAGAAGCGGCTTCTGGGTCCAAGCGCTATAACAAACTGAATGGGGAGACTCAATAAATGGTATTAATAAATGTTTACAAAGCGTCGTAATACTTTCGAAAATCCCAATCGCAATATAAATATATACCCATGCCTAATATCTGTTGGCCAGAAAGTGATACATTTTTTATAAACTGTTTAAATATTGGTGTCTGTGATGCAGCAAGTCCAGAGACTGTTGTGTACACCATGCTTTTATATAAAATTCACTTTAACCTCTAAAGGCCCAAGGTGTTTTTTTACATGCATTTTATTTATTTCTCTTTGCTATTTGTGCTTATTGGAACCTAATTAGAATAAAAACCTAAAGGCTCCTACACACCGGGACGCTTTTCGTTTACGTTTATCGTCAGCGTTTTACGAGACGTTTTTCTATATTCACACCAATGACTGTAAAAAATATGGACGACGCGACAGCCCTTTTTCCCATTGAACGCCTTGAGGGCAAAACGCCTGCTTGACGGGCACAAACTGTCGCAAAAGACTGCTGAAATTGGAGCCAGACATGCGCAGAAGGATTGTCTGATGGAGCCAGAGGAGGAGCCGCGAAAATGAGCAGAGTCGAGCTTCCAACCAAACGCTTTATGTAAAATCAACCAGGCCCCCCGAACTTCTCAGCATGCGTTTGCTGTCATATCAACACAAATGGATGTAATAACGTTAACAAATATGAGGGTTTTATATATTCAATCACGCCAGCTCCAGGCCGCAGCGCATAACTTACTCGCGGCGTCGCGGGCTGATTCCGGCTCGCATGCGGCAGCGCCTGCTCGCTCGGCCGCCGCATCTGGCTCGATTGACTCGGGCTGGAATTGGGTAGTGAGTCCAGGCATCCGGAGTAGGTCCAGCAGAGGTAACATTAGTCAGTCTGAGCTCTAAGAGATAAGTCTCCGGCAGGCGAGAATCTAGCCGGAACTGTGTTTTGCTATCTGGGTGGCTAGGCGTGTATCAGCAAACTAATAAAGCCCGAAAAAAGCCCTGAACTTAGCGAATAAACAGAGTTCCACCAGGATCATGTATGTCAGAAACTATAGTTTACTGCTGAACTCATTTTGTCATGGTAAAATAACACAGAAATCGAATAATAACACTTCAGTCTACTTCAGTCTCCTGCCGAAGCTCAGACGCCGCGCTTTGAGAAACTGTCAATCACAGCTGTCAATCACGATGACACGCCCAGCATTAAATTACTGCTAAAAACAAACTGTTTACAAAAATGAAGATCTGCACCTATTTCAGCACAATAACCAGTGCCTTAATCGACCAGAACTATCTTTCGGGACATTTTATTGCAAGTGTAATATTTTTTTTTATTTGGGCTCAAGTCTCCTTCATTAACACGGAGGAGGTGGGCTTTATGACTTGTACTGCAGCCAGCCCCCAGGGGGCGATCTCACGGCCGAAACCTTCACTCAAACGTAGGCTTGCGGCACACTTGATTCACACCCAAGCGCTTATCACTGGCGTCAAGCTGAAGAGTATGCAAAATCACTCCTTGACGTTAGATGGCGCTACGCAACTTTAAGCTTCTGACACCCGCTTATAACACAGAAGAAGAGGAGGAGAGGAAGTTCACACGCTTGTTGTTAAAGTTACTGGTAACTCGAACAAGCATGGATGTTGCAGCTGTAGCTCTAGCGATGAAGAAATTATTAGTGTTCACGAGAGCAATAAGCAGCTAAACGTTTATATCGCTTCAGGGCATCTTTTTCAATGTGCGCTCACATCGACTGTTTTGCTCTTGAGCGCCTCCAAGTGCTGTTTACTGTAACTTTAGCAGCTCCGTGCACGTGAACAAAAGTATCAATCTGATTCGTGGAGGTTTTGACACGGCACGTCAAAACAAAAAAAACAGCATGAGGCGTGTTTTTTAAAATGCCGCTTTTGCGCCTGGCGTTTTGCACGTTGGTGTGCATGATGGCATTGACGCCCTTTATTTAGTCACAAGGTATTAAACGTCGACGGAAAACGCGAGCAAAAAAACGTCTCAGTGTGCACAGGCCTTAAGTATCATCTTTTGATAAGATGTACTTTTAGAAAAAAATGGTGTCCATATATGTGGACTCGTGGTCCGAATTTACATCAAACACTTTTTCCTGACTGTTTTTAATGCATATTTAACATTAAAAAATTTTGATCATGTTTTGACTGTCAGAAAGTTAAAAAAAAATAATAATTTCTCTATTTTGGAAAGTTCGTGTCTGGGACATTTCATATGCTGCAAAGCAGGATAACACTGTATGTCTGTAACAAAATATAAAACATTCAAAGTATTTTAAAAAGCTACCTCAGAGCTAAAATGTGCTGTTCACTTGTGTGGCCACTAAGCCCAGGGAGGTTTATGTGTGATAGGACTAAAAAGTGGTCATAAATAAGCCCACACGGAATCTGTGCGCGCTGAATTCAGCAGATTTTCAGCCCATCATTATTTCTGTTTATTAACTTAAATGTGAGTAAATTTGTGTAAATCTATATTTATTCCGTTTTTTTATTAATTACAGTAATATTATTGACTAATAGGAAAATGTTTATCTGATTTATGTACAATGCAGTTTGTAAAGTAATATGTTCTGTCTTCTAGTAGAGATATGAGAGACTTGATTTGTTTGCCAAATAAAGTGAATCTAATTGGATTTGCATTTTAAACACTGAATAAAAGTTAAAAAGATATTATTTTTATTTCACAAATTAAGGTTTTAGTTATGATACTCCCAAAATAATGCAGAAATCTGCAGATTTTTACCAAAATTCTCAGCGGAAATAGCAAAAAATGTCAGCAGATTCCATCTGGCCCTAGTCATAAACAAATATTTTCTCAATGCAGCCGAGTCGTGGTTTGGACCCTGAAACAGTATCTCATTTGTCACCACTTAACAAGCGGATAGTGCAACAGTCTGGTTTCCGTTCAATTTCTCTATTCTCAATTTCATAGGACATTGATTTGTAAGAACTCAGGTAAACCTATTGTGCACTATGAGGTTGTTAATCAGTGCTAGATACAGTTGCAATCAAAATTATTAGCCCCCTTTTTAAATTGTTTTTTCTTTTTTTTATATATATTTCCCAAATTATATTTAACAGAACAAGGAAACGTTCACAGTATGTTTGATAATATATTTCTTCTGGAGAAAGTCTTATTTGTTTTATTTCGGCTAGAATAAAAGCAGTTATTAATTTCTTAAAAAAACATTTTAAGGTCAAAATTATTAGCCCCTTTAAGCTATATTTTTTTGACTGTCTACAGAACAAACCATAATTATACAATAACTTGCCTAATTACCCTAACCTGCCTAGTTAACCTAATTAACCTAGTTAAGCCTTTAAATCTCACTTTAAGCTGTATAGAAGTGTCTTGAAAAATATCTAGTCAAATATTATTTCATGGCAAAGATAAAATAAATCAGTTATTAGATATGAGTTATTAAAACTATTATGTTTAGAAATGTGTTGAAAAAATCTGCTCTCCGTTAAACAGAAATGAGAGAAAAAATAAACAGAGGGGCTAATAATTCAGGGGGGTTAATAATTCTGATTGCAACTGTATATATTTCCGCTGAAACGATCAATCTTTTAGTCACTGCTTTATCAGGGGTTGCCACAGTGGAATGAACCACCAATTATTGCGGCATATGTTTAACACAGCAGACGCCCTTTCAAACGCCAGCACTGAGAATACAACTCTTAGTACTGGGAAACACTCATACACTCTGTGTGAGACTGCAACTCTCCACAAGACATTTTGCCATATGAGAAATGGTCATGATAACTGAGCCAGGTTTCTCCTGAGGTTTTTTTTCCTTCACTTTGGCCCATTGGTCAAGTTTAGTTTAGTTTAGTTTAGTTTAGCATAGTTCGAGACTTGTAGTGCCGCACATCGATGGATTACTCTTCAGTGTTTGGACTCCCAGCAGTGAATATTAAAACACATTGAACTAAACTGAGCTAATCTAAACTGAACTTAAACTCTGAAAACTGAACTACACTGTTTCAATTCACTATAATCCTCTATGTGAAGCTGCTTTGACACAATCTACATTGTAAAAGCACTATACAAATAAAGGTGAATTGAATTGAACTCTCATTCACACACACACGTTTGTTTTTGTGAAAAGTGGGGACACTACATAGGTTTCCATTAATTTTATACTGTCCATACTGTATATAGTATTGCCCTCACCTCACCCCACCCCTAAACCCAACCATCACAGGAGACTGTGTGCAGCTTTACTCTCTGATTAAACTCATTCTGTAGGATTTATAAGCATTTTGAGAAAAGAGGATGTCACCAATGTCCTCATATTTCACCTCCTTTTTGTAATACCCGTGTCATACCCATGTCAATATGCAGATTTGTGTCCTGATATGTCACAAACACACACACACACACACACACACACACACACACACACACACACACACACACACACACACACACACACACACACACACACACACACACACACTACGGCTAATTCAGCTTATTCATCTACAGTGCATGTCTTTGGACTTTGGGAGAAACCCAAGCAAACATGGGGAGATCATGCAAACTCCACACAGGAAGACTTCCAGCAACCTTCTTACTGTGGGATAGCACCTTAGCCCCTACTTCAACTGATCCTTTAAAATAATTTACCCATGATGCTGCAGAGAAATCTGCACCAACTAGTGAACAGAAAGAATTCTCAGATAATTCCTCAGCCACAACCATGAAACACTTAAAAATATGCAATAAAAGTCTTACTAAAACTACTTCAATTACTGTTTTTCTATTTTTAATTAGATCATTCCATTAACTCTATTAAGTATACAGTGCTGTCCATTTGTCTTTTCTTGTACTTTTGTGAAGTTTTTAAGTACTTTTTTGGGTTTAAAAAATAGTTGAAAATGTTTCACCCAGGAGGTTTGTTTCGTTTTTAACAACTTTTAAACAATAAATAATAACTAGCTGTTTTAGTTTAATAATGACTGTTTAACAGCTGATTTTAATAAGACTTTAACAAGAAAAAGAAAGAACAGGAAAAATATATCAACAAAAAAAGCGTTGACTGTTGCACAGTATTTACAATTTTGTAAAGCAGGATTTTGAACCAATGAGATTTCCCTGAGGGCGTGGCTACCTAGCACAATGTCAACAATATGTACCTGCTCGTATTTTTCCAGCTCTGTGTGGTAAATGTTCCGAATTTGGCTCAACTTGCTTTTATAGTCGGAGTGTTCCAATGAGCTGTCAGGGGACATCCCGCCAGAGCTGGTCGCAGCAGATACTGCCGCTGCGGCTCCGCCCCCTTTCTCTGGCCCGGCTACACCTTCAGCCAGCAGCATGTTGTCCAATCGTACGAGCTGTGGGTCAGGAGGCTCCTCCTCCTGAACATTTCTCATGGAAAGACCTAAAAATGGAAATCCATTAATGAATATTCAAAAATATTATATTTACAAAATACAACAACTTACAAGATCAATCTGTCAATCATATGAGATCCCAGGCCAAAGCTTAATTTTTGATTTCACAGTAAGAAAGAATGGCATGTATCAAATAGTGAAACTGATATGGTCATGCCAGTATTAATTACCATCAGCGCTGCTCGATTTTGGGAAAAATCATAATCACGATTATTTTGGTCATACTTGTAATCACAATTATTCCAAACAATTATTAGTTGAAGTCAAAATTATTAGCACTACTGAGAATTTTTTTTAAAATAAATATTTCCCAAATGATGTTTAACAGAGGAAGGAATTTTAACAGTATTTCCTCTAATATTTTTCTTCTGGAGAAAGGCTTATTTGTTTTGGCTGCCAGTTACATTCAGAATAGATTTTAAAGTATTATTACTGGTCTATAAATCACTAAATGGCCTAGGACCTAAATACATCACAGATTTGCTCACTGAATACAAACCTAACAGATCACTCAGATCATTAGGATCATATAAACTAGAAGTTCCAAGAGTTCAGTCAAAGCAGGGTGAATCAGCTTTCAGCCACTATGCCCCTCGCTGCTGGAATCAGCTTCCAGAAATGATCAGATGTGCTCCAACATTAGGCACATTCAAATCAAGACTGAAAACACATCTGTTTAGCTGTGCCTTTACTGGATGAGCACTGTGCTCATTATCATGTTTTTCTCTTCTTCTTCATTCTTTTATATCATATTTTACCTGTTTTTATGTTTTGTTTTGTTTTTACGCATTTTTATTATTTGTTTTTATTTTTATTTTACTTGTTTCTTTTATTATTGTTTATGTAAAGCACTTTGAATTGCCATTGTGTATGAAATGTGCTATATAAATAAACTTGCCTTGCCTTGCCTTGCCTTTTGTTTTGGCTAGAATAAAAGCAAATTTAAATATTTTGAAACCTTTTTTAAGGTCAATATTATTTTTCCTTTAGGCAATATATATTTTTGATTGTCTGCAGAAGAAACTACTGTTATATAATGACTTGCCTAATTACCCTAATTAAGCTTTTGAATCACACTTTGAATTTGAATGTTTGTATTTAAAAAAAATATCTACTAAAATATTATGAGCCGTCATCATAGCAAAGATAAAATTAATCGGTTATTAGAAATGAATGATTAAAACTATTATGTTCAGAAATCTTCTTTCCATTAAACAGAAATTGTGGGGAAAAGGTTGCTAATATTCAGGAGGGCTAATAATTCTGACTTTAACTGCATATATTATTTTCCTCCCTGCAAAGGAAAGAGAAATAAATACAATAGAATAAAAATATGAAACAAACTGTGCTTTTAGCATCTTCACCAGAAGAAAAACACTTTAGCTACAAAAGTCTTCAGTCAAGAGCAGAGAGGGATTTTCTTGTTGTTTTATTAATCATGATAACAGGCGGCAGCTCTGTCACTTTAATGGTTTCACGTGTCTTTTGATTCTCAACTCGTTTGTTTATTACAAAATGAGGGTTAATATGAATAATCACTAAACACCGCGTTTTGACACCTATTTGAACATTAAAGCGCTCACGTTAATGACTTTAGATGTGTGTGCTCTCTGCTCGTCACAATGTGCGAATGAGACCAAGTGCAGACCGCATGCTTCTGACTGTCTGCACGCCGCACATACATAAGCATGCGGTCTTTCGCGCTTTTAAGAGCAACAAGTGAGGACAACTGGACAGGGGGCGGTAAATAATGGAATAATCGTTTATCTCGATTAACGGTTTTTCATAATTGTTAGAAGCCATAATCGAAATCGAAATCGGATTTTCGATTTATTACACAGCACTAATTTCCATTTTGATGTAATTTCCATTAAACTGCTCAGTCTCCCTTAAGCAACATGAAGGTTAAAAGCGCCGGTCAAGGGCAAAACACTAGACCGAATGAGTCATTTCGACAGTTCCTGGGCCATCACTGCTTGAAAACTGCAAAAATCCTATGTACAGCTTTATTCTGCTGTGAATACTGTATTAAGCAGAGGCTTTCTTTATGTACTTGACAATGTGAAGGTCAACGTATCATGTCAGTGGTGTGGAATAAGCAGTGTATAGGTCATGGAAGCACCGCATGATTAATGACACACAGCATGCAATACCACAGGCTGTAAGAGAGCGCGCCAAACCACGGAAATTAAAAGACTCCATTAGGCACAAGGCCATTTAATTACTAACCATCACAGTAAACATTTCAGTCCCCTTATGGGATTTCCTAAACTTAGCCTCCATGTAAAATCAACACATTACGCAATTACTGTTCAATTCGTGCATGCAAATAAAAGGATGCTACATGCAAAAAACACTTGTGTTGATATGCAGGAGGAAGTTAAAGGCAAATATTTGGAACAATTTAAGTTGTACTGATTTCCTAACACATGCAAATATTGAGATAGCAAATCCAAATAAACGGGTTAGAGATTATACTGCTAATGTGAGGCCAATAATAGAGAACATATGAGAGATGAAATGACTATTCTGTTTTCATGATATGGACACATAATCCTCAGACATTGCATTTTAATTTAACACTTTAAGGCAAGCAAATGTTTCAGTATAACATACAAATACTATGGATTATTATTATTTATTTTTTGGGGAAATTTGTTTATTTCTTATCACTTATAACATGTTAACGCAGGCCAGTGTTTCTGTATGACATACAAATACTATGGATTTTTTTTTTTTGGAAATTTGTTTTATTTCTTATTATAACATTAACACATGCAAATGTTTTAGTATGACATGCAAATCTTATGGATTTTTTTTTTTTTTGGGGGGGGGGGGGGTATTTCTTATTACTAATAACATTTAACGCATGCAAATGTTACAGTATGACATACAAATCTTATGAATTTTTTTGGAAATTTGTTTTATTTCTTATTACTAAGAATTACTATGACATGCAAATACTATGTATTTATTATTTTTTTGTTTCTTATTACTTTTATCATTTTAACGCATGCAAATGTTTCAGTATGACACTATAGATTATTATTAGTTTTGGAAATTTGTTTTATTTCTAATTACTTTTAGCATTTTAACGCATGCAAATGTATAAATATGACATGCAAATACTATGTTTTTTTTGGAAATTTGTTTTATTTCTTAATACTTATAACATTTTAACACATGCAAATGTTTCAGTATGACATGCAAATACTATAGATTATTATTTTTTTTGGAAATTTGATTTATTTCTTATTACTTTAACATTTTAACACATGCAAATGTTTAAATATGACATGCAAATACTATGAATTTTCTTTTGGAAATTTGTTTTATTTATTAGTACTTATAAAATTTTAATGCATGCAAATGTTTTAGTATGACATGCAAATACTAAGGAGTATTTTTCTTTTGGAAATTTGTTTTATTTCGTATAACTTTTACATTTTTAACTCATGTAAATATTTTAGTATGACATGCAAATACTATGGATTTTTTTCTTATTACTTATAACATTTTAACGCATGCAAATGTTTCAGTATGACATGCAAATACTAAGGACTGTTATTATTTATTTTTTGGAAAGAAAAGGAAGACTTTTTGTTTCAATGGCTACAACTCTGGTCAAATCTAGTTA